TCAATTCCGATTCATTTCAATATGAACAAAAATGTAATAGATTCCATAAAAGTATAGAACAAGGGAATATAAAAAATGTAATAGATTCCATAAAAGTATAGAACAAGGGAATATATTGGTAATCGATCGAATAAAAGAATTTAGCTTTTAGACAAACACAACCTTCAAATAGAATTGAAGGGAAATTTGTGCCATAACATAGAACAAAGTGGAATTTATTCTATTTCTAACTAAATATTGATTACTGGCGAGCCACGACAATTGCGCCGATCAAAGAAAGCAGCTAAAAGAATGATCAAAATTAGTTCAAATAGAAGAAAAACAAATGTTGATAAATCAATTCCAATTTGTTGACTATTACTTATTAAGGCTCTAGAATCAGTTTTGATCTTGTAGTCCAAATAATCTCATACCATTACGTATCTACAATAGTAGTCATTTGTGAAACAAAAAGACTTGTACAAACTTGAAAAGTCACTCCATTCCCAACCGTCCAAAGATTCAAATCTGAGGAATATTCTTCACCCTTCATGAACATCACAGCAAATATGATTAAAACATTTATAACTCCCACGTAAATAAGGATGCCCGGCAGCTACAAACTGGGCGTTTGCTAAAATATGGAATAGAATAAGGATAAGGATATAGAAAGAAGAACCAGTCCCAACGATAAAGCAAGTCCTCAAAACTCGATTGGACTAAGAGAAATCCATAAAGAAGTTCCTCGAGATCATCAAATTCGTTCAAGAAAAGCCAAACGTGTCGTAATTTTGACCGACAATTTAAACTCTAAAGAGAAAGATATTGATATCACAAATACTGATGATTTTGACGAATCATCAGACGAAATTGTTTTGCTACGGTATTCCCAACTATCGAATTTTTGTCGAGACGTAATTAAAGGCTCTATGCATTGTCAAAGATGTAAAACAGGTATTTGCAAACAGCTTCAAGCAAATGTACGTTCTTATCTTTTTTTTTGACAGACAAGCCCATTTTGTCTTCTTTTGATATTCCCGAAATAAGAAAAACGCTTTTTAGACCTTGGATATGGAAAAACACAGAATTGACTATTTCGGATAATATATTGGAAAAGACAGAGATGAAACAAAAGCGGTGATGATAAGAAGAGCCAAGGAGGAAGAGAAACAAACATGTCTAGAAAGAGCAGAAACCTGAGATAAGGCACTACTTGGTCAAGTAATAAGAGGTTGTTTGTTAGTAACTCACTCATTTATTATAAAATCTATTGTGATACCCTCATTGATAATAGCTCACAATCTGATTCGTATACTACGTATTTGAAGGTACTGATTGGTACAAGGATTGACAAAATTGCAAGCAAGAAGGAAATGCATATAAATGTCCCTATAATGGTGTTCAATTATCAGAAAGAGAATTTCCACAAAATGGGTTAACAGAAGCAAATAAAGATCTTATTTCCTTTTCGTGTGAAAGCGGACTACATATTTACGTTACCTAATCCAAATTCAATAAAAAAGCAAGAAAAAGAAAATGACTAAATCCATTTCCTTCCCATAATGAAGCAAATCGAGAAAGAATTGATAAAACGAATCTTGACTTTATTTCAACTATAAATCACTTTCCAATATTAGTAATAAGAATAGAAAGGTCTTTGGGGACTTATCATACTCACAAGCATATTGATTTGACTTACAAATTCTAACAAACAAACCCAACCTATTAACTTAGATAAGTTAAGATCTATGTTTCAATTGAACATCTCTTTTTCTTCAAAATGCAATGCAGGTTTATTTTGTTAAAGTTGTTGGAGCACACGATTCCATCCCGACTTCAATCTTCAAACACTATTCCGCAATAATGAATGGAAAAACGGGTTAAGGGGTCATTCTGACTATGATTTATATCCAATTAGATGGACTAAATTATTCGCATAAGAATTACTACATCCTCCATTGAAAGAGGAGAAAGAAATCTATAGGTGTTGATAGTTCCCAAGGAGTTCTAGTTTCAAAAAGAATTCTTAAAGGGGGAATATTTATTATCGAGCCTGTTCGTCTGTCTGTCTGTAGAAAATGGACAATCTCTTATGTCTCAAACCATACGTATTTCATTAGTTCATAAAAATAAGTACCAAATCAAAGATATCAAGAAAAAGGCTATCCTTATAAGAAGAGTTTTGCTGAATCCATTGCAATACATCAAAAAACGAATGAAAATAGATAGAACTAGCAATCAATCATCATTATTAAGAGGATATTTTGGAGATATATTAGTTAGAATATATCTGAGATATTTAGGAAGTTGTTAGTATAAATTTGATTAATCGTGTATTTTATTTATTTACAAGATTTAGTTAGTTATATATTTTTTCTATTTTTAGGTATTAGTTAATAGTTTGTATCTATTTAAACGTGGTAAACGTGAATGAAGATCATACACTTTTCCAATTCTATTTTCTATTTATATTTCTTTAACATGGTATCAGAGCATCGATCGTGGTGTTCTTAAATATCAAAATTTCCTTTATGGCGGAATCAGCCAAATCCAGCTTTAAAATTTCGGATGTTGATTTAACACATCCTTACTATATGCATCACTCTAATCCGCCAGGATATTCACTTGTTCCAATCAAATTAAATGGAGCAAATTATCAATCCTGGAGTAAATCAGTTATGCATGCTCTTATTGCCAAGAAGAAAATTGGCTTCATTGATGGAACAATTGAGGAACCGCCCCAAGATGCAAATTCAACCGAATTCGAACTCTGGAATCAGTGCAACAGTATGATAATATCTTGGTTAACTCATTCTGTTGAAGCAGATATCGCTAAAAGCATTATTCATGCCAAGACAGCTCATCAAGTGTGGATTGATCTTCGCGATCAATTCTCACAAAAGAATGCTCCAGCAATTTTTCAAATACAAAACTCGATAGCAACGATGTCACAAGAAACCATGGCACTGTCAACATATTTCACCAAGCTCAAAGCACTCTGGGATGAACTGGAAGCGTACCGCACACCATTTACGTGTAATCAATGTCAAATACATATTGATCAACGCGAAGAAGACAAGTTGATGCAATTGCTCATGGGGCTCAATGAGTCTTATAAAACGGTGAGATCTAACATATTGATGATGTCTCCATTACCTAATGTGAGGCAAGCTTATTCATTACTTGTACAAGAAGAGATGCAGCGATAGGTAACTTCGGAACCTACTGAGAATTTCTCGATTGCATCAGCAGTGCATAAGAAAACAACATATTCAAAATTCGCCAAGGACAAATCGTGTGAAAACTGCAATAAAAGTGGTCATACAATCAATGAATGTCGAATTCTTAAGTTTCATTGTAAGTTTTGTGATAGAAGGGGACATACAGAAGATCGGTGTCAACAGAAAAATAATTCTACAAGAACAAGACAAGTCAATCAACACAATCATCGTGGATACCGATCATCTGCAAATATGGCCGATGTTTCACAGTTGAATACAGAAGAACAGTCACCTAATTCCATTCCAAATTTTTCTTCTGAGCAATTAAGACAGATAGCATAAGCCTTATCTGCAATCAATCAAAACCCTTCTGGTAATTCTGACAATCACATCAATGTTGCAGGTTTGTTTCCCATATCTACATTATCTATTAACTCTGCGAGTTATAATTCATGGATTCTCGATAGTGGAGCTACGGATCATATAGTATCAAAATCTTCTGTTATGACTGATCCAAAGGCTGCCATCATGTCTACAATAAATTTGCCTAATGGAGAGACAGTATGTGTGTCACATACTGGCAATATTTTCCTTAGCCCTAATCTTAAGTTAAACAACGTTTTATGTGTGCCTTCATTCAATTTAAACCTAATGACGATCAGCAAACTTACCAATAACTTGAAATGTTATGTCACCTTCTATCCTGATTCTTGTGTTATGCAGGACTTGGCTACGGGGAAGATGATTGGCTCGGGTAAACAATTTGGAGGTCTCTATCATATTTCTTCATCTCCAATCAAATCTTCAACTCATCAAGTATCTCAGTCATCTGATTTGTGGCATTTACGTCTAGGTCATCCTTCTTTTTCTTGTTTTAAATTTCTAGCTGATCAATTGCATCTTAATAATGCGAGTTATTCTCATAATTGTAGTATCTGTCTGTTAGCAAAACAAACTAGGTTGTCTTTCCCAAGAAGTTCAATAACAACCCATTCTGCCTTTGATCTGATACATTGTGATGTTTGGGGACCACATAAAATTCCTACCCATTTTGATTTGCGTTTTTTTCTCACTATTGTTATGATTTTACTCGATGTACTTGGGTTTTTCTAATGCAACATAAGTCAGAAGTACATCATTTGTTAATGAACTTTGTTAAATTTGTTCAAACTCAATTTCATACTACTATCAAGATAGTTCGATCAGACAATGGGACTGAGTTCCTATCTTTGCAACCATTCTTTACTTCTTGTGGTATTGAATTTCAACGCACTTGTGTCTATACTCCACAACAAAATGGAGTCGTAGAACGTCGCCATATCCTAAATGTAGTTAGGTCTCTTCTTTTTCAGTCACAGGTTCCACTTAATTTTTGGGGAGAGTGCATTTTAACGGCTGTTTATCTTATAAATAGAACGCCATCACCAGTGTTATCTAACAAGACACCCTTTGAAGCACTCTACAAACGATCACCTACATTTCATCATCTTAAAGTTTTTGGTTGTAAATGTGCAACTATAGTACATCCTAAGCAAAAATTTGAACCTCGGGCAATTCCTTGTGTTTTCGTAGGATATCCTTGTGGTCATAAAGGTTACAAATTGTATGACATGCAATCTCACAAATTCTTTATCAGCCGTGATGTTAAATTTTGTGAAAATGATTTTCCTTTTTCATCATCTTCACAAACTTCGACATTAGCTCCTTCGACTCCTGTTGTTCCACTTCATTATCCATCCTACTTAAGCATCCATCCTCCACCTTCCATTCCTCCTTCACCTCCTATCCCTTCACCTAAGATCATAGTAAATGACCGTAGTGGGCTAGATATGTGTCTGCCAACCATTTACCCAACACAATCTCAGTTTCGGTATTAAAATGACCATGATCCCACGAAAAGCCTTCAAATGTGGTGAAGTTTATAGGCAACTCCCAGGAGTCGATAGTAATGATGTCTGGAAGCTCTTTTTGGACTGCATCTTCAGCTGCTCTCACTGCCGGCAAGTTATGAGTATCGTGCTTCATAAAAAAGTCATAAAGGGATATCTTAACAATAATGACCGGTAAAAATCTAAGCTTTATATCATTGCGGATGTCGGTGATGAACTTCTTTAAGTTGTCTTTGTATCTTTGAGCGGTGTCATTCATAGCCGCATCGCTTTCTCCTTGATACCAAAACAAAGCACGCACAACTCCACCTTCTTTGTCTGATGTTTTAATTCGTTCGATGAAATTTTGGTAAAAAGTTGCACTAGGATTGCTAGGGTTTTTCATCCATTGTTCAATTAAAGTGCCACCCCTAGCACAAGGAACTAAAGCACGATGCCAGCCTTTTGTCCAGCTTTTTCTTTCAACTGGTGAGCAAACGGTATTCCCGGACCAATCCCTGGAGTTTCGTTTTGCCGACGTCAATCCCCAAATGGAGAGGTTCGTGTGCTATCTCCCATTGGCGCTCAGGGTTCAACCGTAGGATGAATGGGTCGGATTGACACTCTGATGGGACCTTCCCATCCCACACAAGTTCCCCCTTTGGAGTTTTCTCTACCCCACCTCCACCAGCCATGTTGCTCTGACCGGCAAGGATGAATATGTTTGTGGGAGAAGTAGCCCCTGAAAGGGAAGGGCTTAACAATATCGTACACATCAAGATTGATAGTTTCAGTAAAACCATTTTGACCCCTTGTGTCTGCCAATAGACACAGAAGAAGATAAGTATAAGGGAATTAAAAGCTACTTTCTGTATAAGGGGATTAAAAGCTACTTTCTGTGTCTATTAGCAGACACAACTACTCTCCCGTTCAAACTCTTATCACTCTCCTTCTATTTTATAATTGATCTATGCTTCTCCATTCCTTTGTGAGTGATCCTCACTTTTTATACTTAATTTTGATTCTATTTTTAGTATTATTTAAGTTTCAAAATCAGTTTCAATCGGTCAATATTTGTGGATTGAGAGTATTTTTCGATCTTAATAGTCTTAGATCACACCTAATTTGTCTAATATATCTATATATAGAAGGATAAAAATAAATTTTCAACTATGAATTTTATTTTTATTATCATTATTATTTTTCAATCTTGTCTCACATGTCTTTTTCATAAAAGATGGGATCTTTTGAAATTAAAATATATTAGAAGATTTAAGTTTTGTTGGCTCCCAAATAAACTCTAAGCTCCTTTTTCTAAATGGATGAATATTATAGGTTAAATTAAACCAAGTAAAACTAAACCTAGGAACGTTGGACCAAAACGAGATTAGGAGCACAAAGGAGAGCATAAAACGTTAATGAGTTAGATTTGATGAATTTTTTTGATGCATCAATAGCATGTACTCTTTGGCTCTATTTATGTGCTATTGTTTATGTTATGCGATCTGAACCAACAATGTGATATATGCATGTATTTTCTTTTCTCTTTGACGATGACTGCAATGTATGTGACCATGTTTATGCCCTTCGAGACACTGTGACGTATCATGTTTGATAAGAATGTATGAAATACAAAGAATATGTATGTACTTCGCGGATTATAACAACAGTACAAAAAGAAGAATAATAACAATGATAATAAATAATAATTAAATAATAAAAATAATAAGAATAGTAATTTTCGGAGTGACCGCTCCTTCCTCTCCCAACTATCTCTTCTCAACCAACTAATCAGTCAAAATTCAGAAGAAGCACACGTGTTCCTGCATCAATTAAGAAAAAAAAAAATACCAACAACAAGATTTACAGGAGAGCTGAAGATTTAACTGGAGAGACAGATCTTGGAGATTTAATTGGAGAGACATCTCCTTCTCATACATGCAAGGTTGTTACAAGATATCAGTTGGAATCAGATTTCCTTTTCTTTTATCTAATTATTCAGAATTAGATCTATTGCCTAGTTATTTAGATTTTAATTAGCATGTTAGGTTAGAGAAATAACTAAAATCAATGACGCCAATATTTGTCAACAAAATTAAGTAAATTGGAACCGAGAGAAAAAAAAAATGGAAGATAGAAAGTAAATACTGAACAAAATGGAAGATTTGGTGAAAAACAGATGAAATACATAGAAATAGAAGTAAACAAATGGGAAATATGGAATTGATTAGCCGTGCAATTCAAGAACCTATTAAAATTGGCAAAAGATAATTGTGAACTTAATTAAAATAAAAAGAAGAGGAAACACTACCTAAGAGGAAAGAAAATATATGGTAAATATTAAAGAGTTTTAAATGGATGACATCAAAATGAAATTATAACAAACATTTAAAATTTTATTCATGCAAAGCCTCTAATGTTCGCATGATGTTTAACACATGGGCCAATGTAAATTAAAGAAATAATTTTATAGAAGTTCGAACTTGAAACTGATGTCATGAACTCACATAGGTTGACTTGGATTTCAAATGACAGAATTAAACTTTCATTAAGGATAAATTCGTGACAATAACTTAAACTAATCACATAATTGACCTTACTATAGGATAGGCTAAAAATTGTATGAATTATGATGGTGTATGAATTGTGTCGTATGATGTCGTATGATAGTATGTGATGATGTATGAGTTATGACGATGTATGAGTTGCATTGTATGATGTCGTATACTAGTATATGATGATGTACGAGTGTATGATGATGTATGAGTTATGATGCATGCTTGATGATGTGCGTAGTATATATATATATTTTGATGAATGACGTACTTGATATGCTTGATGCACTTTATAGCAATATGATGAGTATGACGATTGCGTGACGTTTACCTTAATATGATGATGTTTTCCATATAGAGCATGCTATATGATGATGGGTGTCATATTGTATCATGTCGTTAGATCGACATAGGACACAACCCTAAGAGCATGAAAATGATATTAATATAAATATCCACGAGTATGTGTTACCTAGAGTAACAAAGAGATGAGACTAGAGGGTTGCGTCAGAAGAGACATTATGATGGATTTAGAGGGACCTCATGCATACATAAGCATAGGGCTACTTCCCCTAGAGATGATGAATGCGGATGGGCACAGTATGATGATGAGTGTGAATGTGCACGAGTGCCAATGCGCACAGATGAGGGTGTTCATGAGGCGCATGACACTATGAGGTTCCGCTGACCTCCAAACGTTGCTACAGATTAGCTTGACCAAAGGGTCCATGGGGTGTGCAAGCGCCCTGGAGATTCAAACTCGCACGTGTGAATCGTGTGTAGGGAAGTACTACACATCCAATTTGTCCGAGACTGGAGGTCACCCTTGTGATGATTAGAGATAGGTCCTTAAATCATGATTGCATGTGCTTGCATTTGCATGGCCCCCTATAGTGGGGCCACTTACTGAGTATTCTTTGAAATACTCAGTCCGTGTGCCACATCATCGATACCCCAACCACGTGATCGAGACCTATACGCTCCACCCCTTTGCATGGTTACAGGTCCACTCCTTGTAGCAGCGCAGTAGTTAGTAGGTGATCCAAGACCTGAGATAAAAGAGGCAGCATATTCATATACGGAATCCATACAAATTATTCAACAAGTTTTGGAAGGAATTCCAGGAGGCGGGCGGAAAAGAGGGGAAAGCTCTCCGTTCCTGGTTCTTCTGTAGCTGGATTCTTCGAAACCACAAGAATCCTTAGTTAGAATGGGATTCCAACTCAGTACCTTTTGAGATTTTGAGACAGTACAATGAAAGTTGTAAGCTGTGTTCGGGGGGAGTTATTGTCTATCGTTGGCCTCTATGGTAGAATCAGTCGGGGGCCTGAGAGGCGGTGGTTTACCTTGTGGCGGATGTTAGCGGTTCGAGTCCGCTTATCTCTAACTCATGAACTTAGTTGATACAAAGCTATATGATAGCACTCCATTTTTTCGATTCGGTAGTTCGATCTCGGAAGAGAAGAAAAGTAATGAAACTCGTGATGGCTACTGAATAACCTCCTTTGACTTTCTAAATAATAAAGCCTTTGACTTTAGTATTCGTTTGTCAAATCTTGTTCAGTTCCACGAGTTCCAAATCCTGTCACCTCTACCTATTACTTATCTTTTGAACAGTAACGAGAAATCAATTGAGATAAAGGCAAGGCGCACTTGTACAGAGGACGACGACATCGCGAGCAGAGATTGTGGTACGTGCATATGGTAGGCTCATATTTAAATTCCTAGTCTTAAGTTAGAATAGGTTATTTTGCTTTTATTTTCTCTAAATTTCAGTATTTCATATTTAAACACCTAATACCATAGTTGCGTTTGCCAGAGAAGAAGTTGTTTTAAGCATTTCTCGAAGTTTACATTATAAATGATGTTCATGTAAGAGTTATATTTCTGTATTATAGATGAGCATGAGACGTTAGTAACGACTCTGAGTATGTGGAAATTTAGGGTCGTTACACGTATAAAACTTACAACATGAGTAATACAGAAGTATTGTATCCATCGTTTCATTGAACGATGTTTTTTAATTCGGATCTCGTACATGTTTAATGGGACCTTATACATGCAATATTATTCGTGTTTCTTTATTTTCTGTCAGTTTTCAGTAGTGTGAAAGTGCGCTATTCCTTAGTCAGGCCTAAGGGGTATGTTAGCCACCTGATACAGTGGATTAAAGAAGTATTATGCATTCAACTCTACCCGGAAGAGGAAGTAGAGCCCAAGGAATTAGGTGCCACCAATGATGATACACGTTATAAGTGTATACATATTCTAACTCGAACAATTGGGTCACTTAATATTTTAAATACTCATCCTATGTTCAACATTTTTCAAGTAAATGTAAGATTTTCATGTACCAATGTCACGACCTAGAATGGCTGCCCTCGACCTACTGAGCAACATTTTTCAAGTAAATGCAACAACCCAAAATGGTTGCCCTCAACATTTATCTTTCTTGAATTCCTGAGATTTATATAAGCAGTTTTCTCTTCTACCACATCTACAAATTCTAATTTTGATCTTTAAGAACAAAGTTTGATTATTTTTAATTATTTAAATAAGAAACTTCCACAAAAGTGGAGTATTAAGTATGTTATGGTTCAACAAAGATGTGGTTTAAATGATTTTATTGAGATAGAATAATAGATCAATCAATAGAGATTAGAGAATGACACATAATAAGATCATAGTAAATGACCATAGTGGGCGAGATATGTGTCAGCCAACCATTTGCCCAAAGCAATCTCAGTTGCGGTATTAAAATGACCATGATCCCAAGAAAAGCCTTCAAATGTAGTCAAGTTCATAGGCAACTCCCAAGAGTCAATAGTAATGATGTCTGGAAGCTCTTTCTGGACTGCATCTTCAGCTGCTCTCACTGCTGGCAAATTATGAGTATCGTGCTTCATAAAAAAGTCATAGAGGGCTATCTTAACAATAATGACAGGCAAGAATCTAGGTTTTATATCATTGCGGATGTCGGTGATGAACTTCTTTAAGTTGTCTTTGTATCTTTGAGCAGTGTCATTCATAGCCGCATCGCTTTCTCCTTGATACCAAAACAAAGCACGCACAACCCCACCTTCTTTTTCTGATGTTTTAATTCGTTCGATGAAATTTTGGTAAAAAGTTGCACTAGGATT